CGTTTTATAGCATTACTTCAAAATTGAAACGTGTTTAATTCAATTTCTCAAAATAAGCTCATTTAGGCGCTCAAGTAACCAAAAGTGACCAATGCCCCAGCAAATCACGAAAAGACGACTAACTAATTTTTATTCAATAAAAGCCACACGCGCGCATACAAATAAAGTAAAATTAAATAATGTACACACCTCGAAAACTTTGTCAAGCCCTTGAACGCCTAAAAGTATGCTATCGTCCTGCTATTGATGGCTTATTGTTTTGGTGGCGGCAAGTGCCAATGAGCGCGCACCAAAACTTTTCTAATCTTGTTTACCAAAGTCATAAAACTACAATGCCACAAAGTAGAATACAAACAACAACAATAACAACAACAGTTATGAGCAGTATAAATGACTTGTAAAAACTTTTCACATTTACATGCGCATATTTATTCACAAGCGAGAATTTCTTCACTACTGTTATATGTAATTACAGTCATCAAAATGGTCACCAAATGGTTGGTTTATCAAATCTGTGCGCCATCTAACGGGCGTATGAAAAAGGTGTGAGAAATTGTACAATTAGCTTTGGGCATGACTTAGAGTTGCCACAAGGTTATAGCGCTGCATAGTAATGGTATGGGGTGGAGCTATTTCAGGTGAGACAAATTAAGTTTCCAAAATATTTTGTGGTTGTTTTATATTGTCAAAATGTGGCAGTTAGTAATTAATAGTTTTAGATATTATAAAAAAGTTGTTAGACGTATAAAAAATTGTCTTCATATACCCATAAGCACATTTAGCGTTTTCTAAGTTAATTTGATGAAACCGAAATGCCAATGAGTTTTAGAGGTGATATAGAGAAAAATGTCTCTTCTAGCAGCGCGCTTATTGGACTAGCTATGGCTACTTTGTGTTCTCTTACGATGTTTTGAGTATTGAAATGAGATATGGGGAATTTCTTAAGAAGCTGCAGCTTTTTCCAATTCAAAGAATATCTAACTACACTAAGTTTGAATATGGTACACAGAGTACCTTAAGGGCGTACAGATTTATTGCAAAGATTGTTGGAGCATAACATGGCAAACGTTACTCTTATTCTTCAATAATGGAATTTTTTTAAAGGCCATGAAGTTAATAATTTTCCTCAAAGAAAAACTTCTGCTAAAAAGTTCAATGAGACTGTATTAATTTGTAATCCTTCTAAATTGCAAGCAACAATTCACACAGTTTTACACTAGCTTCCATACAGTTGACGACTTGGGACGACTTGGTGGCTAAATTTTTCTATATTTCTTCAACTTCTATGTAGCTCTAGATATGTGCCTGCATGCATTCTTCGCAAAATGTACACGTTCACACGTCGTGTGACAAACGTCAAGCGTCTTTTGTGCGCAAATTTGGCAAGGACTTCGCCTCAACAGCCACAGTGCCTGCCGCCACACACATCCTTTTGCTGTCACACGAAGGCAAATACAATTGTCGTTGCTGTTATTGTTGTTGTTGTTCTAGTGGCTTTAGTTGGCACCAAGCATTTGCCTGATTGTTGCCTTCGCCAACTATTTGCCATTGTTATTGTAGTTGTTGTACATAATTGGCATTTGAATGCATGCTGGAACAATGTCGACGCGCACGCGCCTGCTGCAAATTTAATTTATAACCAACTGAGTGACGGCCTATACAAAAGCCATAATTTCTATTTATATGTAAATATGCGCACACAGGCATGCGCACATGTAACGACAGTTACGTAGCGACACATGAGCATGTGGCCGGATGGTGATGCATTCCACACCGCCCTGACAAACACGTGCCCCTCGACAAATGCTTGTTCCTGCCACCCACATGTTATGACAATGACAGCAACGCTTAACTATTTCAGCTAATTAATTTATCTGCTCAAACTATTGTTCGAAGGCATGTAAGCGTGTGCGCATGTGGGTGGTTTGTTGTTTTAAATGCTTCTGCGCGCTACTCCAGCATTTAGCATTGAAAAGTGTCAAATATGTCGATAAGCAAGTGCCGCTGGAAAGCGCTTTTCTGACAACTTAAGCATGGTGTACGGGAATTCAATTATTTCCACGTAAATTCCATCAATCGTTAGCGTTTAGCTTAACTTTTAACAGGTAGTGTTTTGCGCTCTCAATGGAGCTTTTAATAAAATTTAGTTTTGTGAGTAGTTCTATTAGTTGGTGCGCCTAGCACGGCAGAACTGAGCATTATAGATGTGTAATACCACTATTTATAGACTCCAACGACGACATATTACAAATTGAAAGTCAAGTAGTCATTTTAGTTTTTGTGACTCCGTCGAGGGCGTTCTGATTGAAACCATCAGTTTCCAAAACTTTATCTATTAATTACAGAGTAACGTAGGTCTAAACAGGCACTTTTTACTCGCATTACCCAAGGTTTTTTTTTTTTTGTATAGTAAAGGGAAGCATCGAAAGCCGAAGTGCGGAACTTTAATCCGGTACGGACTGACTGACTTCTCATTTGTTGTCAGTATCTCAGTTTGGTCATAATTAGAGCTGCCGCTTCGCTGACAGCTTTCCATTTATCAGAGGACTGACACATATGTGCTGTATACCCATTGCTGTTTTTTACAAAATGTAGTTAGCAACTCTTGGTAAAAGCCACGCCAAACTTTCGAGGTCAGGGCTTTGTTAATCGTGCGATTCTGTTGCTTGAAAAAATGTGGCGGATTTCGATGTTATTACACAAATTGAGGATCTAACAAATTTTAACGCTTATTGGAATGTGTTTCATGGCGGAAATTTATTTTTAAGTATCAATTAGCAATCAATTGTAAAAGTGTACTGCTATTTTTGTGTATATGAAGGTTGGAAGGTATCTCCCTTCCGCTTTTTTGCTCTTCATTGAATGCTTTATAAAAAGTGTTACAGTGATCGGATTTAGTTAAAATATGCGCCGTTTTGTTCGATGATCTGTTTCCATCTAGACGGCAACTTCATAATACCTTCCTCGTAGAAGCCCCCCTCCTTGTTACGTATTCTCAGCACTGGCCTTCGACCACGACCGTTTTCTGATATTCGTATGGTGATCCATTTTCGCGCCAGTCACCATCCGCTTCAAGAATGGGACGAGTTCGTTCCGTTTCAGCAGCATATCGCAGTCGTTGATGGTCCAGAAGGTTTTTTCAAATTATGCGGCACCCAAACATCAAACTTTTTGTATCCAGCCTTCTGCAGATGGTTCAAAATGGTTTGGTGACTAACTCCATCTCCTGGGCGATGTCACGAGATGCCATATGCCGGTCTAATCCGATGTATTCCATGATTTGATCCGTATTTGTCGTCACAGGTCTTCCGCCGGTGGTTATCCATGGTGTCGTTTTCACCGGCTCTGAATCGTCGAAACCATTCCTCCGCGGTTCGAAGTGATAGAGTACCATCCCCAAAACACCATTAATCTCACGGAACGTTTCTAGCGGATTTGCCTTTAACGAAGGAAAACTTTAAAATAGCGCGAATTTCGTTAGTGAACTCCATGTTTACACGTCTATAACGTTGAACGCAATATCCAAACTAATCATGCATAGCGTTGTTTGTAGGTTATGTCAAGACCTTCAAATTATGTATAGTGTTGCAGATACGAGCTCTGTAGCACTTTGCACATATACCGCGAAATTCAAAGACAAAAGCGGAAGGAAGATACCTTCAACCTTATATTATTGAGATAACTATACCAGCAAATTTCTAAGGTCATGAGAGATTTCGATATGTTCTTAAAACGGTTAAACCACTTCCAAACAGTTTTGTAATAGAAAATTCTTGGCGACGTTAGTTCAGCATATACCTCTAAAATCCGATCACGTTTAGCCAGAGCTTTTACAGAATTTTAAACATAACTCATATTCCACGACCTTGTATTTTACTGTACACCCATTAATAAAACTACACATTATCCTCTTATAGACCGGAAATAATAACTGCGGTTAAAATTTCAGGCATTTTAAGAGCAGAAAGAACCTTTAGGTGCTCCAAAATCTCCTAAAGATATCAGGTCCAAGTCAAAGTCACACTTCTTTAAGCTTACTGAACTATAACACTTCTATCAACATATTTATGGCATGTATGACTACCTAACCTATACATACACACACCTTACATACTTCAGCACAAATTGATAAGCATGCTTAATAATAGCGAATTTACAACCCTTGCAAGCACTGATATCCAATGCCATGCAACAATGAGCAGATCTTGAGCGAAAATGATTGGCTGAAATTATGCATGCCTGCATTCCATGGAATACACGCGAGACGCAGTGATGCTCGTACGCATATATAAGCTTACATTATACGAATAAACTTATTATATGAATAAACTTATACACACGTCTTATATTTAATTGTCAATAACGTTACTTATTTGCCAATATATATATATATGTACAATATGTATATAAATATTACGACTTTCACATAATATAATCATTCAGAGTAAATATGCCATGCCATAGAGATGGAAGTGGTTCTCCGCTAAAATTTGCTTGTGTGTGAAATGAGTTTCAAGAGACTGCGGTACGAAATATGTACTTAACGGACAACTTTACAATCACTTAATGTAATTTTTGAGCTTTAAGCTGAGAAAACATTTTGTGTGTTTCTCATTTCAGTCCCATTGTACGCTATTCACTGAAATATTTTAGACAGATATTCAAAAAACCGCTAAGAATTTTGATTTTGGAATGCTCTTTTATAATACACATATTCTGCAACTGCAGCTGCCTATAACATGTTTAAAATTGATATTTTGCGCGCACAATATTTATAATGATCAGTAGTGTTTGGAAACTAAATTATGCGAAATTTATCGTCATTCTGTTGTGGTTTTACGATGCAATATTTTGAGTCTTTCGACAATTGTCACCTCAAGGCGAGGACGGCAAATATTCAGGTTCCTATCAAACAAAAGCCGAGCGGACATCTCAACGTCGTACACGTTTGTTGAGGCAACGTAGCGATGACAAAGTCTTCGATCTACGAGATAAAATACCATCTCGGTACAATGTACCACGGCTGTGCAAAATTGCATGGTGTTGATGAAAACTTCATCCAGGTGTTGCTGTGCATGGTGTTGGCTGCCGTTACAAGTAGTTGGCGTGGTGCGGTGCTTGCATGCAGGGTGTTGCGAAGATAAGCAGGTGGTACCGTAGTTGTTCTGTTGCACGGTGTTGTGAGTCCTTGTGGTCCTTGTGGTTGTCGATTTTGTAGTTTGGCTTTTGGTCGTGGTTGACCTTGTTGTTGTTTCACAAGTAGTCACATCTGGTGTTGTGGGCTTATACGTGCAGGGTGTGGTGTTGGTGTTGGTGTATCACACGTGTGGCGAAGGAGGCGGTGCTAGTTGTTTCGTTTTGCACGGTGTGTGTAGTCCTTGTGGTCCGGTTGTCGATCTTGAGTTGGGCTTTTGGTGGTGACCTTGTGTTGTTTCCAGTAGCAATCTGGTGTGTGGGCTTACACGTGCAGGGTGTTGGTGTTGGTGTATCACACGACGGTGTTGGTGAAGGAGTTATGCAGGGTACCGTAGTTGTTTCTGTTTTGCACGGTGTTGTTGTAGTCCTTGTGGTCCGTGTGGTTGTCGATCTTGTAGTTGGGCTTTTTGTGTGACCTTCTTTCCCGAGTCACAGCTGGTGTGTGGGCTTACACATGCAGGGTGTTGGTGTGGTGTATCCACACGGGTGAAGGAGTTATGCAGGGTACCGTAGTTGTTTCTGTTTTGCACGGTGTTGTTGTAGTCCTTGTGGTCCGTGTGGTTGTCGATCTTGTAGTTGGGCTTTTGGTTGTGGTTGACCTTGTTGTTGTTTCACAAGTAGTCACAGGTGGTGTTGTGGGCTTACACGTGCAGGGTGTTGGTGTTGGTGTATCACACGACGGTGTTGGTGAAGGAGTTATGCAGGGTAC